ACAGTTTTGTGAAGAGGGCTGGTCCAAAATTACTCCAGATCATTGTGCAGGTCTGATCTGCAACTAGAGGACACATTTGGTTAAGGTTATTGCTGCCAAAGGAGGGTCAACCAGTTATTAAGTCCAATGGTTCACATACTTTTTCCTCCCTGCACTGTGAATGTTTACATGTTATATTCAATTAAACCATGGCAACATCTAATGTTTGTGTAGTATTATGTTCAGCAGACTGTGTTTTTCTATTGTTGTGACTTAGATGAAGTTCAGACTACATTTTATGACCAATTCATGCAAAACGCCACGTAATCCCAAGGGGTTCACATACTTTTTCCTCCCTGCACTATGAATGTTTACATGTTATGTCCAATTAAACCATGGCAACATCTAATGTTTGTGTAGTATTATGTTCAGCAGACTGTGTTTTTCTATTGTTGTGACTTAGATGAAGTTGAGAGTACATTTTATGACCAATTTATGCAAAACTCCACGTAATCCCAAGGGGTTCACATACTTTTTCTTGCAAATGATCAAGGTGATTGTCTCCCTAAATTTCAGAAATGACGAAACTTTTCTGAATCTGGTTAATATTGACAGCAGACTTCCAAGTCCATCTCTTATTCTTGAATGAACAATAAGAATATTTGCTTGTATCCATCTTCTCACATCTCACCTGTTCTCCAAAAATCCTCAACAACTCCAGAAAACGCCATTATCACTCTGGGATATAATTCATCTGTGCCTGGAAACTTGAAGTAGCATCTCCTTACTTATTCTGGGCTGTAAGTTCCTTCTTACTTTTACTTTTCCTGTGTAGAAAAGTAATGGGAGAAGGCACAGCCAAAAGGGAGATAATTGATGTATCGTATTTAACACATTGGCACACCAAGTCTTCCTTTGTTTTTCACGGCATTGAATCAAAGTCAGAGAAGTCTGTTTTTGTTAGGTTGCCTCTGGATTTTTCTGTCATTTTGGACTTTAGCTTTCCTGAGACAAGTCTAACAAGTCTGGGCAACTCTACTGTATTTATTCTTGTTTTATTTTTCATTTTATACTCTTTTAAATCTTATCTCTCGATTTCCTGTGTAATCATATTTCCAGTTTCTCATCTACTTGGAATAGTCTGTGCCTTTAGTAATTTAATTGTCAGAATTACATTATCACATTTTTTTTCACTCCTAGTATAGAATGTTTAGTTTTTCCAAATCCTTGCACACACCCTCAGATGTCACATTTCTTTCTAATAACAGTTCCATAATGTTGCCTCTTTTCAAAGCGCTTCCAAGTTTGGATTGCAAAATTCTACATAGTCACAAGAGGACAGCAAAGAGATTTAATCAGAGTTATAGCATTCTAATGCACACTCCATCTCTTTTACATGAATCATGACACCAAACACACATAAAAGGCAAATTTCCTGTCCAAGATTTTATCTACTATTTTTCTTAAATTGGTCAAAATAAATTTCATGATGGCACTTAACAGTATTTATGGCTTTTTAAAGAGTCCCTTTGAGAGTGTTAGTGCAGGGTAAGTAAGATACAAAATGAATGTATTTGAACCACTCACCGGCAAGTGCCCAAGAAGAGGTGTGATGCTATCAGAAACATACACGATGCTTCCATCAGTGGTAACTGCTATAACAAACCCATCCAATGCCTACAGGGAAAAAAGTGTGGTAATTCTCTAAAAGAGGTAGTAAAATGATAATGCTTGTATTGCTATTGAGAACAAGAAGTTACAGAAGACTTTGAATATGGCTTAGAAGCCAGATATGTGAATTCCAGAGACTATGAAGAAAAAGAGATTTTGGTCAGATTTTATGAATTGATCAAAAATACATGCATACTATATGCGGCCTGTACACAATTTATATCCAAACCTCCATTAAACTGCCTATTCCTTAAAGCTAAAATGTGAGTGCTTTGGAGCATTTATTTATTTCTACCTACCCCAAAAGGTTTATATAACACATAGGTATCCTATAAATAGCCAATATGGTCATGTAAAATTGTGCATTATGACTACATTGTGACAGAAATTTCCTTCCCAGTTGTTATTATAACCCGAGGACTACATGTAGTTTATTTTTTTTTCTCTTGTTGTCAATCATTTTATATAATTACTTGGCATGCATAGATAATACCTTTTAGTTATTTTTCTTTTACAGAGATCCATCAACAATTATAGTTACATATTGAAATACCCATCTTATAGAATACCATCAGATTTTTTCAATGAAATATTCCAAAACGGGAAATATTCCAGACATGCTGATCAATTCAAAAGCCACCACTGATAACTCTGTTGAAGTCAACATATCAAAGTTTTGTAAAAATTGAAATTTTCACCTCCAACATCAGTTGAGTGAATTCTTCATTGCTGAGAAAAGAGGGCTTCCATTCTTGATGAATATCACAAAGTTCTGTCTGTGCTGAAAATTCTAAACAAATTAAAATGTCTTATTATAAATCTACTAATGACTAGGCCACAGCACAACTGCTATATAAGATTTATTTAACAAGTTTATCTTGACTTCTATAAGGAATCTATAAAGATAAGGATTTTGAGTTCAATTGCAGAATGATTAATTTGCAGAATGTATCTTCTGTTTAAAGTAGCCCTTGGTTTCCACAATATTCATTTTAACTTTTAACATACAAAGTCTCATTTTTGCTTTACTTGCCCTTAAAGGAGAAAATCACAGAGAGTCAGTGACGTGCGGTGAGGATTACGGTTGGTGAGGCAAGAGCGCGGCAGCAGTGAGAAGCAACGTCCCCGCTGCTGTGTCCGACAGGCGTCTCGCATTTATGTCCGCCATAAATGCGAGATGCCTGTCGGACACAGCGGCGGGGACAGAGAAGGCGAGACGGCAGAGCGCGGCAGTGGCAAGAAGCAACGTCCCCGCCACTGTGTCCGACAGGCGTCTTGCATTTATGTCCATCATAGATGTGAGACGCTTCTGTTGGACACAGCGGCAGGGACGGAGGTAGCAGGGGGCAAGGCAGCAGAGTGAAGCGGCGGCGAGAAGCAGTATTCCCGCCACTGTCCCCAACTGAGGCGTCTTGCGTTTATGTCCGCCTCGCTGGAGCTGCAGTCACAGAAGAAGGACGCCGAGCTGGACAAGCGCATCGAAGCACTGCGGTGCAAGAACCAAGCACACATCCGCCACTACCAGGAGATCGAGGAGGACCGGCGCAAGGCCGAGCAGGAGGGCGTAGCCATGACAGGAGCTCAGAAGAGCCGCTCGGCGGAGGCTGCCGAGCAGACCAAGAGGCACCGAAGAGAGCCAGAGGCCGCCCAGCCAGAGGAGTGGGAGGAGCGGCGGCAGTGAAACATCAAGCAGATGAACGAGGAGATGAAGAAGATCGCCGAGTACAAGCGTGGGCAGCGGGACAGCCTGTTAGAGAAGAACCCAGTCCGCAACTTCCTGGACAACCCACGGTGCAGCGGTGCCTTCTCTGAGGCCGGCTGGAGGGAGGAGGTGGGGGGGCGAGGTGGCAGCCGGCAAAGAAAGGGGAGAGGAGGAGGAAAGGGAGAGGGGAGCAGGACGGGGCTCCCGGTGGGGGGAGAGGAGAAAGGGAAGGTGGGCACAGCAGGCAAAAGAAAGAAAGCAGCAGCCCGCCAGCAGAGGCGGGTAAAAGCCCCATCTCTGTTGGGGGGCTGCCCCTCTCTTCTCAAACAAGGCTGCCCCTCCCTTCTCAAACAAGCTGCCCTCCCTGCCTCTCCTCCTTCCCTCTCTTCTCAAACTCTCTCTCAAATTGAGAGAGTTTGTTTAAGTGAAGTGAAGAAACAAACACACGCACGCACACACACACACACACACACACACACACAC